TAGTAATCAAGGGTAATATACCAAGACCTTGATAATAGTCAGTTATTTTTGTTGAATCTAAATCTCGAGAATATTTTAATATCAATTTGATGAGACACAATTTTTGGCAATAATAATCTGATTTGAGCCTCAGAACTTTAGCTCGAGGGCTTTAATCAATTGATTATTACCGCAAAAATTATGAAGAATCAAATTGTTAAATGTTCGAGAAATTTAGCGACAACAAAAATAGCAGAATATTAATCAAGGTCGTGTTATATTTGGAACGACTATTTCACTAGACCAAATATTGACTATTTCTCTTATTGACTATTTCTCTAAAGAAATAGTCGCTAAAATTTGTTCTAGGAAGATAGTCACTTATATTGCCGTGTTAATTCAAAAAATCACTTACGCCCAAATTTCTAAGAGTTAAATCTCGAATTTTATAGAAGATATATCCATAAAAGTTATAGAGATGGACAAAAAATTCATTTTTGTCATGCGTAGTAATATCTTTATTTCAAGGAAAATTGTAGTTACGGCCATTTGAATTAACACAGCAGTATATTGTACATATTATTTTAGATTTTAACAGGTTTATTTAGAAGAACAAATCAAAAGAAATTCATATTGTGCCTTCCACATTCAGCGTTTCTGTGCGACTCTCTTTTGTTTTTTCAATAAATCCCAAATTTAAACTTGAAAAGAGGTCGTTGAAAGTAACCCTAGCAAATCAGAAATTTGACAGCTTGATTATTTTAAAAATATTGAATTATTGGATTTCTACAGGAAAGTTAAATTTAACGGTTTATACTAAAATTTAAATAAAAATTTATCTCAGTTTACTCAAAAGGTTACTTTAAAATCTATGTTAGTTACTTTTAAGCTTGTTAAAATTATCACTAAACGGGGAGTGATCAAAAAACCTAAATGGAAATTTTTTAATTATATAACTTTTATGATTTTTAAATTGTTTTCTTTTTAAAGTACCTCAGGAATTCTTAATTTTTAAGTTTTGCCATATACAATATTCATCTCAATATGGTACTCAATGAAACTTACATAATTAAGTAACATTAACCATATTTTATGGTAGACACATACAAGTAACGAAAGTATTAAGTTATAAAATAATAAGTTAAATAATTTGGATGTGTTGTTTATATGTTTTAATTACAATTTTTTGGTCATAAAATAAATCAGACAGTTTATTCAGCAAAAAGAAACACAAACTTTCTGCCATGTTGGTAAAAAATTTAACAAAAAATAAAATTTGAATCTTATTCTGTACCTATTATAATTGTAATATATACCCAGGCAGCACACTTTGGTATAAATTATGTTTTTGTTTAGGTACTACCATACGTATGAATACGGTTGATGTACTACCAAATATATTCGTGAAAATGTCCGCCTTATAAACGTCGATTACTAAGAATTTATCCACCTATAATTAAACGTTTTTACTATACGTCTATATTAGATTTATAGTTGTAGTATATTTATACGAATTTACTTTGGTATTAAACGCGTTTTTTTATGTACTACAATATACGTATGGATACCGTTGATATGCTACCCAATATATATGTGAAAATGTCCGCCCTATAAACGTATATTTTTTTTATTTTTTATACGTCTTACATTACTACTTTATTTACCTTTAATTAGTCCTGTTTACGTTTACGTCTATATTAGATTTATTTTATTTTATTAACGTGTAAAATGCGTCTACCTGATAATGTTTTAAATGTATTTCGAACACAAATTAGGTAAATTGATCAAAACAAAATTTCTAAAAGAGGCCATGGAAAGAGGTTAACTTCCTCCTTTATTTCTATTCACATATTTTCTTGCAAGGGGTACATTTCAGTAAGTAATTTTTTTCCCACAAAAAACCAACGAGCATGTTTAAAGATTAGGTTATGTGATATTCATATTCTGTCATTTCTTCTTTCATTTTTCAGTTGCTTCACAACAGTTAACCCAGTCATTTCTTCACATACACTTGGTAATTGGTTCATGGCCCAGATCTTATATAATAAATAATAAATATTTCTTCACTCATAGTTTGCATCTTATTACCTATACCCTGTCATAAGTTTATCCTAGAATTTTTTGTTATTACTTACCACCACATGTAGAGGCCTTAACTTGACAGGTCTCCTTTGAAAAATGTTAGGTTAAGTAACACTACTAATTATTTTTTAAAGAACAACAATGTGTTTAAAATAAGCCTTCTCTTTTAATCTGTTTAATGTATGTGTTTTGTTTTGTATAGTCTTGAAAATTTTAAATTTTTAACTATTTAAACTGACTAATATTTGTTTTTCAACTTGTAACATTGTTTATTTTACAATTTATTTTATCCCCCACATTTGATGAAACTTGTTTGTAGTATTCCCTAGTGGATGGAGAGTATGGTGAGTTTTCTTTTTTACTATTTTATATATCGTTGGCTCAAAGTTAACACACCTTACACCACATATTCTCCTTTCCACTAGGCGAGCCTGAAGATGAAGTGATGATACTTCGAAACCGGTCGCACTCAATGTTTTATTGAATAATTAAACATTAACTTTCCTTGTGAGATATAAAGGACTTTTTCTCCCCCTTTACCTTAAAATATATTATCGTATATTTTAGATGAATAGTAATAATAATTGTAATTTATTGAACTGAATGTTCAGTCCAATAGGCCATTGACTATTAAATTTGACAATTTTACATGTTTTGTTACAGCACAGTTTTTAATTGAATTATAAATGTTTTTGTTTATTTTAATGTTTAAGTTCTTAAAACTAATTTTAAAATATATTTCCTATGCCTATATACACTGGTGCTTAGTATTTAAATAAAATAGGGGATGTTCCATAACAGTAAATTCTCTGATTCAAAATGAGATGATTAAATGAAAAAGGCTTAGATGTTGGTACGGGAGCCAGTGATACTTTTTTGGTTCACATTTGCAAAACACAAATTTACAATTTTTTGTATAATGAAGATTTTAGAAGAGGAGGTAGGCCAGTTTAAATATTTGTAATTGAAGATCAAATATTATTATTGTAGCGAATGTTACTGAATGATCAGTTTTACTTACAAATAATAATATTATAATGAAAGTAATATTCTATAAAATTTACCTATTAAATTTTCATGTTTATATTTTAAATATTTTGTAAATTATTCATCGAAGTTGTTATATTTTGCATACATTTTTCTACAAACTTACTAAAGCTATTTTATTTATTATTTTCAGAAATAAGTGCAAAACAGTCAACAAGACAGAATATTTCCTACCTGTTCTAACTACATTGATTACAATGATGTTTTAGTAGATGATGAAAACTTACCTGAAACAAAAAAAAAATATATTAATTGAGTCAATATGGAAAATATTTGAAATTTTATAAATATTGATGATTATTACTTTTAAATCAAAAAATAAAAAATCATACATGTAATATTGATATATTAAAATGGTTCCATCTCGGATGAGTCAAACCATTCAAATATTAAAAAGCTTTAGGAACGTGGCTTCTAAAACTTCCTACAAAATTTCAAAACTAAAAGCATTGTATAAATATATCTAGTAGGTCAATGCTTATGAAGAAAATGTTTGATTTTATTTTGCTCGTCACCTGGCGGTTCCAAGCGGACAGTAGCGCAAATTTAAAAAAAAAAGATAGTTTTCTAGATGCCGGTAAAAGAAATTACGATTGTTTGATCAACCGTACAACGTTGTCATTTTGCGAATTTTTTAGATCGTAGATCGTCTATATTTAACAAAACTGGCAACTATCGAATAATAGTTTACCAGCTTTATAATTACGATTAGAAGTCGTTTAGATGATCTTTAAAGTTTTGGTCTACCCTATGCATATTTCATGTTTGTCCAGTTCAAGCCGTCGGTATAGTTATTTAACATTTTTGTCTTTGTACAGGTACGTAAATCGATAATTTTATCTTCGTATAAATATGATGGAAATAATAAAATCGTATAATGTTTGTTATCCAGGACCGTAATTTACGAAATTATTATATATAGGTATTATAGTTTTTAATAGAATTAAGGTAGGGTAAATGGATAAAAAAATTGGTAATATAAAATAATATTATTATAATTAATAAAAGGCAAGATTTTTAAATTGCGTAAGTACCAGCCTCTTACAATAATTATTAGCTTTCTTGGGAGAAATAACACACATAACAATAAATGTTATTATTATTATTAAACATTTTGGTATAATAAGTAGGTACATTAAAAATATAAGAAACAATCTGATGTGTCTAACACATGACTTTCTTATCTAGTTATTACAGGCTCTTTTCGGTTATTTTGTACAACCTATTGTACCTAGCACCTCTGTAAATATTTAGAGGTTAACTTATTATATACATTTTCCACATACATCTAACTCAAAACATTATTCTATGCAGTGCTTCTCAAAAGTCCCCTCCCCCTCTTTTCTTTTGAACTGTGATACTTAGCGTGATGAAATTTGGAGGGTGAAAATGAACTATTGTAAGCTTCTCTACCAGTGGTAATAGGTGACGTAACAGGCATCGGTGACGTCACCAGGCAACTGAAACCAATATTAATTAATGGGACCTTATATCAAGTGACACCTCGTTTGAAAGGTATTAAAAATACTTATTCAATCATACTATTTTTTTGGATTTACGATGTTTTTGATGGTTAAAATAATGAAAATAAATTAAAGGGGGCTTCCCTACTAGAAACGAGTTATTTGACTTTTTTTGCTCAATCCTAATAAAATATTTAGAAAGTACCTACATAGTATTAAATCTTGTACGATAGTGCGAAACCCTTCGTATGCGAGTCCGACTCGCACTTGGCCTGTTTTTTATTATAAATATCACATATTCAATAATTATTGTTCACGCTATTTTAGGAAGAATATAAAAAATACCTTTTAGATTATATTAGACTCCAATTTAAAGCTTAAACTATGGTTATTCAGCAAATAGTTTAATACTGAGAAGATTCTAAAAATATGGAGGAGAAGTTAAAAAAGTTTTATCTATACTGTATGCTGCCTCAATTGGTAGATCCAAGGTATGACCGGGGAATGTCATTAAGAGAACCTGATTATATTTTAGAAGCTATTCAAAAAATAAAAAAATAAAATGAAAAATAAAAATTATTACCTCAAAAAAGTAAAATAACATTAAAGGCTCTTCACTAATTATTAGTGAATTACCTTTAATATAGTAACTACTACTATTATAGTAGTTATTATGCCCATTACTTGAAAATGTATCTACAAAAACTCGCTTTTTAAGGACAAAAATAATTATTAAAAACTTTTAGTGTTTTTATTCTAAAAGTATTTTCTTTAATATTTTTCATTTTATTCTAGGATCTATTAATACACTCTAATACCTATATTTATTTGCAAGTGTTTTTGTGACTAATTTATTTGTAAATTTAAAATATTTTTTACGTTGTAAAAAATAATATGAAACTGTTTAGTCAAATGCCCTATACTATTTACACAAATAAAATAAAATTGTATTATAATTTCTGATAAAATTACATCATATCTAAAAATATAATACAATGTCAGGGATCATAAAATATCTAAAAATAAAAAAATATCCGATGTGAGGTTTCATAAAATATCACGCAACTTCTGGCGTTTGTTTGTCCTTTTATATTTTTCAGTTATTTTTAAAGCAGAAACTCAACCTTCCAACATTTTGAGATGTTAACTTCGAAGAATTCACATACCTCATCCCAGTCTGTTTATAAGACCGTTGAAGTCCAAAGGAAAAAAGTTGTAATATATCCATGATATTATAAAAAGAAGTTATTATATTACGCCGATTGATACTACATCATGGCGACATATTGTGGTGATAGAAAACAGCGCGCGAAAATAAATTTTAATCAACTCATGGCCAATCATCCATATTCCACACCACAATACGTCGCGTGAACTCGTATCATGTAATATATCTTAAAGTTGACAACAACTATATGATTACATCATTCAACGGCAGCATCATAAAATGCGGATCAATCAAAGGCGGAGAGTAATAAAACACAACGGTTCTGTTTACTCAGTTAAAATTTATAAAATATTATTTATTATATAAGATGTTTTTGAGTTTCAACTAGTACAGACCGAAATAATGTTGAATTTCATTCTATTGAACTTATAGCGTGAGTTACGAATTAAAAATTAAGTTAACTTCTTTCTTTATTTATTTCAAGTTAAAAAGAAGACATCTTTTTGCAAAAAATTATCACATCATTACAACAGCAGACAGCAACAAAATCAAGAAAAATTTGTAAGGAAAACTAAGTATTTTCTTCACGTTTCTTTCACAGATAAGTCAGAAGACATGTAAATTAATATATTGTGAAACATTTGTTAAATACATTATTTAAAAGACTGATTTATAGACTTTATTATTTTAGTAGCTTAGTTGATATTCTTGGGACAATGAATTATTTTAGAAAATATATACCCATTATATAAATATAATTCTTTAACTTAACTTTTTCTAATCAAACATTTTTTTAAATTTAGTGAAATATTGCAAATTCTATATTAAAACCAAAATTATCTCATGTAATAAATATTCCCACTTTGCATCAAGCAATACTTTCAGATCTATACTATATGTAGGTACCCCTTATTCCGTATCTGTCCAATTTTCAATACTAGGTAGACGAGGAAGACAATATCGTCTATCCCTTGGTACGAACACGGAACGTCTTGAGAAAGGATATTGTAGTCTTATTTTTCTAAGATTAAACCAAAATGCCTATTTATACAAATTTCTTGCTATCGTCAGCGATCAGCGGAGCAATAACTCTTAACAAAATTACGAAAATCAGTTTTCTTCTATGAACACAATACAAAGTGGAATAAAAATGGCAATAACTTTCATTACGTTTATTCTGCCATCTATTTTTAACTAGCAAAAGCTTCATCCGTCTCTACATAATAATGGTCTCTAGCTTAAAAAAACTCAAATAGACTGGCCACCTGGTGGTGGTCTCCTCGCCATCTGGTGGTGGTCTCCTTTTGGTATCAAACAAATAAATGCATTGGAGTGACCTACCAGATATATTTATACAATGCTAAAAGCATTTTATAACAAACGGTATTATTCTGGTTATTTTTTATCTGCTATTGTCTTTGTGGTTTGTTCACATTACTTCTCTGACTCGTGCTCCAACTTCTCCTTTGTTTCCCACTCCGATACTTTTATCGCATCTTAGCGTTTCTCCTTTTACTGTTCTTCTTTGCCTCCTCCTGCTTAGCCTCTTTTTTTAACCCTATCTCTGCATCTCGGCGTCTCTACTTTTCTTTTTTAATAACATTATTATTAAATAAAAATTATTTCTTTACCTATTTATATTTTCATCAACTTTATTCAACTTTTGCAAACTATTTTACATTTTTCTACTTCATAATATCCTTTCAAACAATATCCCTGGTAAATTTTTTTATTTAAATTATTACTAACAATATTTTTCAAAATCAATCATCCAAAGAACAAAATTCAATTCAAAAGAAAAGAACATCCTATTACCATCGGATTGCCATCGCCGCCACACCATAATAGTCAGGAATCAGCACCCCGAAATTCGATCATGTACTGTGCACTCGAAGATATACTTTTTAAAAAATATCTACTATTTTGGGAATGAGTTTACGGATGCAAATCCGGAGCAGGGGTGGGAAACTGGTATGCGCAGGCCTGGGATAGAGCAAAAATCAACCACGTCCGCGTGGCGCTGCAGTCGGGTGGTGGGGTAGGTGGTGGGAGTGTAAAGGACAGGTGAATATTGATGTTTGTGGGGTGTCATGGCGTCTTGGCTTAAACCAAACGTGTTTATTTATATTGGTGACTTGGTTGTGTTCAGTTGTGTTTTCATTTCCAATTTGCTTAATTGATTTAGTTGACCACTGTTAATAAACTTGTTTTTTCATTATAAATTTGTGCTTTTTGAGCTGCTATCTTGTGCTTTTTCTGCTGTTATTTTGTGCTTTTCCATAAAGATTCGTAATTATAGAAAATGTTGTGTACCGAATTGCCTTGATGTGGACAACAAGATGCATCGCCTGCCCCACCCTACGAATATACCCGATTTATTTGATATTTGGGCACTTGCTGTTCGTTGGCCAAGATTTAATAATAAAACAAGACTACAAATTTATTCCACCTTTGTAGTATGTCATAAACATTTTGAAGAGAAGTATAAAGTAGTTGGCTCTCGTCGAGGTCTAACACCTGAAGCTTTCCAATGCTATTCCTCCCAGCAGTTCCTGAAAGAGTAGCGGATGGACTTTCCTCAAATAACGTAGAAATTTAATATGTTGATCAAACACCTACTTCAAGTAAAGGTTCGAAGAAGAAGCTTGAGCTTCTTTTCGAGAAGGAAAGTTAGTAATCTACTCATTTATTTTATACTTATACTGTGTATTTTCTGTTTCATGACATTTGGGATTGCAAATCTGTATCGTAGAAGAAGAAGCAGACTAATAATATATGTTGAACTTCTTTTCGAGAAGGAAAGTTAGTAATCTACTCATTTATTTTATATTTATTCTGTGTATTTTCTGTTTCATGACATTTGGGGAAAAGAAAATCAAAGTATGTGTAACCTACAAAATGAACTTGGTGATTCCACCAAAATTTTTAAACAAAAAAAAAAAATTATTAAAGTATTAACTACAATTAAAAATGTTGTCTACTACGGTTACACAAGTTTCGGTTGTTCCGGTGTCAACCTTCGGGCCTTCGACGTCGCTCAGACGGCAGCTAGGGGGTGGATAGCTTACAAAAATTCCGGAAATAGTAGACAAATAAATAGGCGCCAACTGGGTCTATATAGTGGCCAAACTATGATCCTATTTCCCCAAAAACCCAGTAAATGAGGAAAGAAATAAAAGACAAACCTCAACTTATGTTCCTTTATAAAGAAAAAAAAAAATATTTAGTAAATATACAAACTAATTACCTGATGGCTTAGATAATAATAATAAAAAAAGTTGGAGGAAATTAAAAGGAAAAACTTACACAGTGTATGTATATGCATAACCCAAAAAAATTAATAAATGTATCAAAGTATGGAACGGTTCGTCGTTAGCTTGGTACCAGGCATGACGCTTGCGCAAAACATTAATTTCCACCTTACATAAAAAAAAAATATAATATAATAGTTAACTTAAATATTGTGCATCACCGTACCTATACTACTTCATATATTATAAAAACAGTAAACTTATAATCTTTATAATCTTATAACCCTCTCCAAATTGGAAGGCGGTATCTGCTTAACTTTTGGTTAAGACCAAACTACCCAAAAGAAAATTATTAAACCATGAAATTTTATAATTAAGTATAATTCATAGAACTAAATAAAAATATCAAAAAAAATAATAAAAATACAACATATAAAAGACTTTAGACAGAGGTTATTTAATTAAACTCCCAGATTGGAAGAGGTTACTTAATCTCTGCCCCCACACGGGTCTTCTGAGATTGCTTAACTTATAGTTAAGTCTGGTCCATTTAATAATGAATAAATCGAATAAAGTAAAATTATGGCAGTAGCCCTTAATAACTGAAGAATTACAACTTAAACGTGGAAGCAGTCCAAGTGTTCTGCGACCCGAAGGATTACTACATCAGCATTAAGTGCTTAAGTTAAGTAAAAATTTAAAATATTAATCAATTAAACGATGTAACATTTGATAATACTTAAGTTATGAGTGAAAGAACCCTAGAACATTCTGTGCTCAAAAGTATAAATAATGTTGAGAATACCTTGACAACATTCGGTTGAAAGTGAATGTATAATTTAACAATGCACGCATGAAACCTTCAATATAACGTATAAGAAAAACCTGATAGTAGGGTGTCTTCTTTCACAGCATTCCCATCTTCCTATCCAGAACAAGAAACATTCTTGTAAATCTAGCTACAAGTAAACTAGGTGGCTAGCATACCAATGTTCTGTGTCCCCTCGATGAGTCCACGATGAAACCGTTGAACTCCGGACGATATAACCCTCTGTGTACAACTGTTGAAATC